GAGTCACATTGGACCATGCCTGTCTACAGCAGCCTGACACTCCTTTTTTCCCCCTTGCCATAGCTTTCCTCCCAAGGAGCAAGCGTCTTTTAATTTCATGGCTGCAGTCTCCATCTGCGGTGATCTTGGAGCCCAAATAAATGAAGTCTGTTACTGCTTCCATTTCTACCCCTTCTATTTGCCAGGAATTGATGGGTCCAGATGCCATGATCTTAGTTTTTTTAATGTTGAGTTTCAAGCCAGCTTTTGCACTCTCCTCTTTCACCCTCATCAAGAGGCTCTGATTTTTGTAGGTATAGACAAATTACAGAATCTGAGTATCTTTTCCAAGGCCTTCATAGCCAGCTTATTGAGCTATAGTCTGTGGAGTATTTCTTGACTGCTTGTTCTTTTAATGTTGATAATTGATCCTAAAAGGCAGAAACTATCCTCACTTCACTGTCTTCATTGTCAACCAGGTTTAAGCCTGGTTGCTGTACCTACTGTCATTACTTTGGCCGCCTTTACATATAATCATAGTCCCATTTTTTCACTGACCTTACTAAACTTTGCACGTCATTGTTATTTTTAGCTATCAGAGTAGTGTCATCAGCATAGTACAGGTTATTGATATTTCTTCTCAATATCAATAACCTGTACTGTGGTTATTTCAGACCAGACTCCCTCTTTTTCAGTCCAGACTCCCTTAATATATATTCAGCATATAGGTTGAATTAAAAAAGGAGTGAGTATATATTTTCTCATTCCTTTGCTGACCTGAAAATGAAGCCAGCCTGTTTTGCCATGTTCCATCTGGATTGTGGCTTCCCGCCCTGTATGTAGGTTTTGTATGAGGACAATAAGATGTTTTGGGAATCCTATTTTCTTAAGGACATTCTACATCTTGACGTGGTTGACATAACTGAAGGCCTTTCTGTAATCAATGAAGCATATATTTACTTCTTTTGGGTATTCTTTGGCTTTCTCAATTATGCAACATGCTTCACCAATAATGTTGGTTCTTTCTTAGCCTTTTCTAAAACCAGCTTGAATATCTGGAATTTCCCTTTCTATCTAATCTGGGTTGGATGATCCTAAGCATTCATTTGCTAGCACATTAAATTAAGGGTATTGTGTAATAGTTTGCACACTCTATTAAGTCTCCTTTCTTTGGTATTTGTATGCAGACTGACCTCCTCCAGTCTGATGGCCATTGTGTCATTCTCCAGATTTGCTGACATAGTTTGGTTAGAAACTTCATTGATTCTTTTTCTGTTACTTGTCATATTTCAGTAGATAGTCCATCAATTCCTTCCAACCTGGTAATGATCAGAGTGCTGATCTAATTTCATCTTCTAGTTTTAGGTCATAGTGATTCTTCTAAATAAGGAATATCTCCTAAGGTATCTTGAATGTTGAGTTCTCTACTGTATAGAACATTAGTATACAGCTTTAATCTTTGTTTGATCTTCTTTGAATCAATTACTATCTGTCCATTACATCTTTTAGCATAGCAGTTTGATGTTGGAAACTCCTTCTGAGTCTGGAGAACTTTTGGAATACTTTCCTTGCTTTTCTTTGCCTGTTTCCATCTTCAGTGTCTTTATGGATGTCATTATAATGCTGCTTATTGTCTAACAGCTCTCTCAAATTCTTTATCAAGTTCCCTCCTGAGATTTTTGTCTTTCTTGGCTTTGGCTTCTCTTTTTCTTCTTGACAATTTCTACCGTCTGTTCTGATACGCAGTTTGGTTTCTTCTGATTCTTGGTCTTTGGCAGTCTCCTTTCACATTCATCCATAGCAACTTTTTTATTTCATTTAGCAGTTTGTCTAGTTCCCTATCAATGAAGTTCAGGACTTCAAAGTGATTCTTGATGTTGTCCTTGAAAATGGTTATATGCTTAAGATCATATCATGGAAATTGGTGACTTTCTGCTGCTGCTGTAGCTTGACTTGGAATTTGCATATGAGCCGTTCATGATCTGTTCCAAATTCAGTTCCTGGCTACGTCTTCGCTGTTATAACTGAGCTCTTCCAACTCCTTGTACCAATAATACTGTCAGTTTGATTTCTATGTACTGTGATGATGTTCATATATGTAGGTGTTGTTTTGGTGGTTTGATGATAATTTGGCTTTTTGAAAATTTATTTAAACAATTAAGCAAACGAAGATATGCAATCTGAACACTGGAAATTGACCTTAAACAGAGAAAAGGAAGAGATTAGAGACAGAAGAGGGGAAATAAGAGGGAGAGAAGAAACAAAGTAAAGATCTACTTTGAAGCTCAACAGATTGCTACTATACCTAAATAAGGAGATGAACAATTGCAATTTTATTAAGAAGATTGATACCCCAATCTCTCTCTCTAAACCTCTTATGGAGGAAAATATAGCCAGCTGAAGGTAACCAGCAAAATATGATTAACAGGTGCTGTAAATTATGTAAATAATTTTATTGTATTATAGTCTCTTGCTTTTTATAAGGAATAAGATTTTATTAGATTTTTATTCATATTTTTACATACAGTTTTACTCTATATAAAATTTTTAATAAGAATTTTGATTATCATAGTAAATCTAATACAAACTAAATGAAAGAAAAGAGAATAGAAAGAACGAGTAAAAAGTGCAAGGAAAAAGAAAAAAAAAGTAAGATTATAATAGATATTGAGAGTTTGGAACTGATACAAAGCAAGATTGTCTCCTAAAATCCCTTTATGGTTGTTACCTCAAGAAGTTTTTTATAGAAGAGAAATGACAGTTAAACAAGCATGGTTGACATATGCAAATTTATTGACCTTTTCTGAAGGAGAACCTAAACTGAAGAAGAGGGAAAAATTAGAATTGGAAGGTTATACTTGCCAATGGTTTATTTATGTACAGTTGTTGGAAAGTTTTAAATTGGATAAGAAGACTTATGATTTTACTTACGAGAAAACTGACTTGGAACTTGCTTTAATGTCTAATGACAAACATGTTATTGCTAAGATGTATAAACTTCTGTTGAAAATTAATATGGAAGATGAATATGTTAAGGATTGTATGGTCAAGTGGGGGAAAAAAACTGATATAATGTTGGATCAGTGGGAATAAAGGTTTGAAGTTTACACTTAACTACAACTTGAAAGAAAATTTTTATAAAATGATGTACCATTGGTATTTAACACCAGATATATTATCTGAGATGTACTGTATAAAGGAATGTCAAATATATGTTGGAAATGTAACCAATGTGAAGGTACTTTTTATCATCTTTGATGGACTTGTAAGAAGGCTAAGAAATATTGGGATATGATATATATTTTGATTCAAAAAAATTTAAAAATGGATGTACAATTGAAACCAGAAGTCTTCCTTTTCGGTATGATGGACAAACAGATGGAAAGAAAACATGGGAATTTATTCTTTATATGATAAAAGCAGTGAGACTTTTATATGCACAGAAATGGAAAGATTTACAAATACGTACAGCTGAAGAATGGATAGTGAAATTAATGGAACTAGCGGAGATGGCAAAACTAACTTCTTTGATTAAAGAAAAGACTTTGGCTTTGTTTCTATTTGGAAACCGCTTTTGGAGTTTTTGCTTGACACTGAAAAAAATTAAACTTTAATTTTGGGGTTTGATGACTGATACTTTTCACAATTATAGAAATGCTTTGTATTATATCTTTTATTGTTATAGACTTATTTTGTATTTTAAACATGAGAGTAAGAGGTGAATGTACAGTGGTACCTCGGGTTACGAACGCCTCTGTTAATGAACTTTTCGGGTTACGACCA